GGGTGACCGGGTACTCGGTACCACCGGTACTTAAAAAACCTGGTACCGTAACGTTTTAATTTTTCTAGTACCGACTTGGTACCGAAATACCGGGTCTTTTGACAACACTAGTGCTCACTGTACATATTGTGCTCATAACACAATTTACTTTATGATATAAACTACAATATAAAAGTTAAAACTTAAGAATTCATTTAAACTTTGATTTCATATAAAGTCTCAGCTTTCACAGCTTACTAGATATATCGCTAGCTATTAATAGTCTGACACTGGTGGCTAATTAAGCTGTTAACATAAAGCTAAAAATGACCAAAAAACATACAGAAACAACTGTTCAGTCTTACCTGTGGAAGATAATACCCCGAGATCTGTTTTTATTATTGTGTGACGGTTTGTAGATGCCCAAGCTTCCGACGAGTCAGGTACGTTTTCTTCTGTCCCGATATGACAGTTGCCCGCACCAATATGGCGGCGACGTTGACGTGCGGTCGAGCGGCCAATGAGGCGTCTAGGTATTTATTATGTCTATGGTAAAAACGCCAAAGCGCAGTGCCCTTAACGCACACTAAATCCACACTATCTTAGCTTAGTGTATCCCATCATGCATCATGTTCTGGAAATAAATAGTGAGACTTTTTGCCAAGATCGCGTGAGAGGTCACGGAAACCTTTCCATTAAATATTAAATATTAATAATAATAAGATATTACATATAATTTGGTAGTAAAAAACAAAGTGCTACACGGCTGCAAAGAAAATGAGTAGTGGTGATATTTATTTTGTACAACATTTGCAACTGCTTTTTATCACTTAATTAGAAGCACCACAAAATTAAATTGTCATCTGTTATAGAGACACTGACACTTGTGGTCTTCATGCTCACTTGAACACTTGGGCCAAATACAGGAAATACGTCATATAAGTAGTCAAGTGCAAAGACCGCAAGTGTGGGTATTTGGACAAGGCATCTGTCTCTCCTTGTCTTGTTAGTTACTATGGTTACCCTGATTAGTCCCACCTGTAACTAATTATCCCCATGTTCACTATATAAGCCATTGTGTTTCAGTTGTGTTTTGTGAGTCGTTATTTGCTGTTCTCTGAGTTCTTGTTTCCTGCTAGGATCTAGTAGTGATGGGAAACCGAGGCTTTCTGAACCATTTGAGGCTTTCATCAAATTGTGCCGAAAAACGGTTTATTACTCGAAGCTTTTTAACACAGTGCGCACTAGCGACATCTGGTGGTCAGACTCGGTTTCTCCAGCCTATCTAATGAAAAAACGCGGTGCAGAGGATGGTTTGAAAAAGTTTTTAATCTGTGCCAACTCGTGTCATGTGTAGTCCCGTCAATGGATTCACATATTGATCAATAATATAAAATACACAAGTGTGTGATTATAATTAATAATTGATGTGAGTAGTAGCAAAAATATTTTGGGTGAGCTGTTCGGGGTCTCTGAGACCCCAGCTAGAACATGATAAAATGCAATAGAGGTGTGACGTGCATTCAGTTTCTGTCTGGTGTTGAGGTTATTCTAAACTATTCTACTGAATCCCAAATAAATGTACACACACACACAACCAAGTCAATGTAAAGTCAAACAAGAGTCATGCGAAGCGCTGATTCTTTTCAAACCAGCTGTCCCGACCCTCCGATACTGCATGACGTTCGAAGCTTCAAACGTCATCAATCACGTGATATTGTCATTTGGATACAAGCATCGGCACACTGTATGATACAATAGTGCTTTGAAAACTGCATCGGAGCCTCGGTATCAATCGTCCCATCACTAGGATCTAGTATGTTCTAGTTTTTGTGCTCTTAGGGATTTTTTGGCTGTTCCTTAACCCTGAACTTGCTGTGTTTGTTATTAAATGTGTGTGCAAGTGGATTCTTGCTTTCTGCCTTGTCTCTTTGGATTGTTACAGTAATACTGTTCGATCCACACATTTTAAAGGAAATATTGCATGATATAGGTGTAAGCAGCTGGTTGATTTTATGGATTGAGGAATTCAAAAAATAAAAATAGACCCCAACGGGTTTGTGTAGAAAGAATTCTGTCTGACTGTACAGTACTTAATACGGGGGATACTACAGTGATGTGTACTATCAGCTCTGACTTCTCTGTATTTATTAATGAGCTTCAGCGTAATAGGGAAAATCTTACCTTATTTAAATATGCTGATGACTTGGCTCTTATTTCCTGTCAAACGGATGCTACTTATTTTGAGTGCATTAGAAATCTTGTTCAGTGTTTTGACAATAGTAATCTACTATTGAACATTGAAAAGAGTAAGACCAAGGAATTATGTTGCAGGAATCAAAAAATTTTGTTTTATATAAACAAGTTACTATTAAGGGTACAAATGTAGAATAATACTATTAATATTAAAAATTTGGGAATAATTATTGATGATAATTTCACATTTCAGGGTAATGTGGAACACATGCATAAGAAGGAAAGACAATGTCTAGGTGTACTCAATATTGATAGGAAGACCCTGACCATGGTCTATAGATCAATGATTAAAAGCATTCTAACATACGATATTGTTTTGTGGTATGGTAATTTAACAATGAAACCGAAAAACACAAAATAATTAAGGAAGCAAATAAGATCACTGGTCAGAAACAGAATACTTTGCAAGACTTGTTTTCACATTTTATGGAAAAAAAGGCAATTGCAGTAGGGGAGAGCGGGGTAATTTAAGACCAAATTAATTTTTTGGCTTTATTGTGACAGGACATCAGAATTGACAGGAAATGAAATGGGAGAGGCAGGATCGGTAAAGGTCCTTGAGGCAGGATTCAAACACGGGATGCCTGTAGCACAATGGCACTGTATGTTGGTGCGCTGCCCACAAGGCTATCGGTGCTGACAATTTAAGCCAGTTTTTACTTACAATGTGTTTAAAGTGAGCACATGACACTGGGTAAATGGGTCCAACTTAAATATGTACATACATTTCAGGATGTGGTATATCCTCGGGAATAATCACTTTGGATACAAAATAAACTGCTTTCAAAATATGGCTTTCCAAAAAAAAAAAGTGGGATCTGGGCTTGCCCCCAGTGAGGGGTAAATTGAGCCTAGGGAGACATTTACACCAGGACATTTGGCTCAAATTACACCAACCATTTTAACAAGCTTGTATCAACCATCAGTTTAGAGCTAACATCATGCTAACAGTATAGCCTCAGATTATAACTTCCTAAAGCAGAAACATATATATATATATATTTTTTAGATTTGTCTGTAATTGTTCAGACACAAGAAGCATGAGTCCTTGAAGATAAAAATTCACTCTAAACAGCAAAAAAAAAATTTTGAACAATGTAGTTACCAATTATGCCATGGGCCTCTCCATCACTGGGGGAGTAAAATGGACAACTCTTCATATATTTATGGTCATATCACCAATTTGGTTTAAGGTTGCCTAGAAACAAGGAGAGGCTCAACTTCCCCGCAGCCTCAAATCTCACCCCGCTCTCCCATATATTTACAACTTTGATGTCCTCCCTTCAGGACAGGATGCGCATACTATTGACTGAAAAGAACATATGGAAAAGATCTTTTGTTTCAATGGCATGTTTTTTATGTTTTGAATGTGTGTTTGATTGTGTATGTATTTAAGTGATGTGTAGTTGTCAATAAGATTTGTTATGCCAGTGCCAAAGATGACTTTCTGTTTGGTGAAAATCTGAACAGACAATGAAGTTTAAAGTAAAGTGAAGATATTATTAATGCTGTGTTGTGTTGCAGGGTCCTCATGGATTCCCTGGGCCAAAGGTACATCATGGGATGAAGCATATCTGTGCTATTGTTGATATCAATTACACAGCCATGCCTGTGTCTGAACTTTGTTACTATTGGAATCAGTAGTTAATGAAGTTAATTCAGTTAATGATGTTACCCAAATTAATCTCATATTTCTTATGGAATACTGACATTTGGTGTTTAAGGCATGCTGCAAACTTGCCATCAATTGTTCAGAGAGCAAATCACCTTTTTCAGAGATGAAAGTTATTAGTTGAGCAGTGTTGTTTTGTACATACAGAATGCTGTTAGACTTGCAGCAGATCTTTTTCACCACTTAAACTCCCACTGTGTGCTCCTATACCAAAAGGTTCTTAGTCATCCAACTCATTGTAGGCTATCAGGTGCAATTTATTCAGGAGGATTTAAACCTGTGCTATTTGTCCAGAAATCAAAAGACAAGATTGTTGCCTCCTGAGTAAATGTTACACAGTATTTCCTGAACTGTCCTCTGCCACTCCTCTCCACTTAGGGGGAACCTGGGTTGCATGGTCTCAAGGGACTGCGAGGGGAACCTGGGCATAAGGGTGACAGAGGACCCCTGGGTCTCCCCGTAAGTACACAACAGCCGTGCAGCCTAGGATCTTCATACTTCATCCCCACTTATTTTGACTCAACATCATCTAACCATTACCACATTCACAACTGTCCATTTGTTTGTTTTCATTGTTGTGACTCATGCAGTCAGCCAAGCCTGCTTTGCTGCCCCTTAAACTTTTTGTGCTGGATAAATGTCCATTTGTTTATGTTTGTTACACAGATGTTGACTTTTTTTTTTGTCAGAGTGACTGTTCATCATGTACTAATCTCACTTTTCAAACCTCCACTCATACTTCCATAAATGCACAGGGAGCATCTGGCTTGGACGGCAAGCCGGGACCCAGGGTGAGTCTTAAACGGCCACGTTTCACCCTCCAAGTATGGGATCAGATTCCCGCCAAATGTATTGCAGTCACCGATAAAAAAAATAACAAGCATGAAACCAAAATTTAAAAATGCAAGTAAAATTATATTGCACAAAATGTGTAATTGAAAGCAAAGTTTTCAGAATAGCAAACAATGGTCACAGATCAAAAAGTAATGTGTAAATCCAAAATTGAATAACGCATTAAAAAAAAATAATAATAAGCATGAGTCAAAACTTTAAACACATTTAAAATCATATTGCACAAATTTGATGTCCTCCCTTCAGGACAGGATGCGCATACTATTGACTGAAAAGAACATATGGAAAAGATCTTTTGTTTCAATGGCATGTTTTTTATGTTTTGAATGTGTGTTTGATTGTGTATGTATTTAAGTGATGTGTAGTTGTCAATAAGATTTGTTATGCCAGTGCCAAAGATGACTTTCTGTTTGGTGAAAATCTGAACAGACAATGAAGTTTAAAGTAAAGTGAAGATATTATTAATGCTGTGTTGTGTTGCAGGGTCCTCATGGATTCCCTGGGCCAAAGGTACATCATGGGATGAAGCATATCTGTGCTATTGTTGATATCAATTACACAGCCATGCCTGTGTCTGAACTTTGTTACTATTGGAATCAGTAGTTAATGAAGTTAATTCAGTTAATGATGTTACCCAAATTAATCTCATATTTCTTATGGAATACTGACATTTGGTGTTTAAGGCATGCTGCAAACTTGCCATCAATTGTTCAGAGAGCAAATCACCTTTTTCAGAGATGAAAGTTATTAGTTGAGCAGTGTTGTTTTGTACATACAGAATGCTGTTAGACTTGCAGCAGATCTTTTTCACCACTTAAACTCCCACTGTGTGCTCCTATACCAAAAGGTTCTTAGTCATCCAACTCATTGTAGGCTATCAGGTGCAATTTATTCAGGAGGATTTAAACCTGTGCTATTTGTCCAGAAATCAAAAGACAAGATTGTTGCCTCCTGAGTAAATGTTACACAGTATTTCCTGAACTGTCCTCTGCCACTCCTCTCCACTTAGGGGGAACCTGGGTTGCATGGTCTCAAGGGACTGCGAGGGGAACCTGGGCATAAGGGTGACAGAGGACCCCTGGGTCTCCCCGTAAGTACACAACAGCCGTGCAGCCTAGGATCTTCATACTTCATCCCCACTTATTTTGACTCAACATCATCTAACCATTACCACATTCACAACTGTCCATTTGTTTGTTTTCATTGTTGTGACTCATGCAGTCAGCCAAGCCTGCTTTGCTGCCCCTTAAACTTTTTGTGCTGGATAAATGTCCATTTGTTTATGTTTGTTACACAGATGTTGACTTTTTTTTTTGTCAGAGTGACTGTTCATCATGTACTAATCTCACTTTTCAAACCTCCACTCATACTTCCATAAATGCACATCTGGCTTCTGGCTTGGACGGCAAGCCGGGACCCAGGGTGAGTCTTAAACGGCCACGTTTCACCCTCCGGATCAGATTTCAGATTCCCGCCAAATGTATTGCAGTCACCGATAAAAAAAATAACAAGCATGAAACCAAAATTTAAAAATGCAAGTAAAATTATATTGCACAAAATGTGTAATTGAAAGCAAAGTTTTCAGAATAGCAAACAATGGTCACAGATCAAAAAGTAATGTGTAAATCCAAAATTGAATAACGCATTAAAAAAAAATAATAATAAGCATGAGTCAAAACTTTAAACACATTTAAAATCATATTGCACAAAACTGAAATATTAATGCAAAATTATCCGAATTGCACACAAAATCATGTTTTCCTTGGTTATATTTCTGTTTTTTGTGCTCTCAGTCATTTTCTGCACATATTTTAATTTTTTGTATTCTTATGCTGTTTTTCCCTTCGCTCTTGTTTCCACGTTCTGTGCTTGCTTTTCCAAATGTTGCGGTTAGAGTTTCATGTAAATCAGGGTGGGCTGAAGCATCATCATTGGTCCAGTAGTTCTAGATTGACAGCTCCTCCTCTAGCCAATGTGTTCTGTTCACTTGTACAGGTGAAAATGGATAACTGTCAGCTGGGAAACATATTTGCATACAGAACACGGTTATATGTGTCTGTCTGTCACTGCTGTATGCCTACCTGACGAGCCGTTAACGTTAAATGAGCCATCCTAGCGACCTGTCGTGGTTATATTCACCTGTATTTATTCGCCTCCGGTCAGGCACGTGCACGCATAGACATCAAAAGGGACTTGAGCACCTGCCCTTAATGAGAAAGTGCCCTTTTTTCTTGAGTTTTTTTTTTTTTTTTTATAAATGAATATATGTATATATCTGTGCGTGTGTGTGTTTCTGTTTGCGCATAGCTTTCCCTGTCAAACAAATAAAAAATCTAAATATCACAACCCAGTCTCATAAAAATATGTACCTCTGGGTACTTTTCTGCAACACCGTTTTTACGTATCTTACTGTACGTTTCACCGCAGTTTCAAAGAGAAATGTCCACTGAGTGGCGCTAAAACACGGGTTCAATACATGAACCCTGGCACGTTTTTATTACGTTGATATAGTTACATATTGCTGTGTTTTTAAACCTACCCGATAGTGTTAACAAATGCAAAACTGATATAAAAACGCATTTGTTGATGCAACCGTGCCATTTGAACTTACTTATATGTAGATTTGAACCGTTTTGTCAAACCGTAGTTACACAGGATTCAAACCGGAGCTCCTCGCCTCTCAAGTACATCTCCGTACTCCGTGAGCTACCGAACAAACCTACCATTGATGAAAACCCATTGATATGAAGCTGGATATGTGCGGTGCTAACGTTCAAAAGCATCAGTTTTCAAATCTCCCAGCATATTAAAATTGTTTTGAAGTCATAACATGATATTCTTCAAGTAATTGTGCGAAAATTACGCTTTATTAATCGAAACTCTGTAAATGTGTGTGAAAAGGAATAAAAGGTGTCGGAGTTTTACTGCCTCTAGTGTTCATTTCTTTTGGAAACTGCAATGATATGTACTTATTGGTACGTATTTCGCGTCTCGCGAAAATGTGCCCCCGGGTACGTTTTTGCCATGAGACCAGGTTGCAACATCAGGTCGAGTTTATGAACTCTGTCAAGTTCTGATGCCTTTCTCTGCGTCTCTGCAACACAGCAGTGTAACGCACATTGATAGGCACATCACAGACAGACAGACAGAGAGCCGCAGAAGGGAAGCCCTCCCTCCCTTTCCAGTTGTGTTTGTCTTGCTGAGTGGTGATGACCAAAAGACTAAGCTACCTGTGCCTCGAATTTACAGCTAATTATCCAAAAGACAAAAGGCAAATATAGTTAATTTGTCTTGCTAACATCCATGACTCATGAGCTACCATGTAAGTAGCTAAAGTTTAGCTAAGGCAATAGGAAGTGTAGTAGGTTACACCAGTGCGCGTTCTTTCACTGCATGATTCAGTTTATTAAAATGCATTTAGAATGATCAGAAAATTCAAGGTATGGGGGCAGAAATGTATATATTTATTTCATTTCATATAGTTAATCAGTATCACGCAAATGTGATTTTATACAGCAGTTCAATAATCAAGAATTTAATATTAAGACACTTACGTTCTTGACACAATATTGACAGTTTTTTCTCTATTTCGCCAACAAATATAATTCCAATTTGCGTCCCTGAGCAACATGACGCTGTTTTGTTCCTGAATTAATCAATCGTTTAAATGATTCGGTTCAATCGCAATGACTCACTTATTAACAGTGACTTACTGCCACTTACTGGCAGTTTTAATTTTACATTTAAAGTATCTTTTCATTTTTTTTTTTTATAATTTCAAATATCAGTATTTAACGTTTTATGTTTAAAATATCAAAACAGTATTAATGCATTTGTAACTGCAGGTTAAATGCATTCATGTCCTGCATTAAACAGTGTGTAAATGCATCTAAATGCCACTTCTAATTCAGCTTCTGTGTTTTCTCTGCATTGCAAAGATTAATTTGGTCAATACTGATTTCATTTGCTTGGTAACAGCCCAAATTACTTATTATTCTAATTGACTGAATCAATTTAAGAATTTGACTGAAAAGACGATGCACACTTTTAGAAAAAAATGGCTTAAAAATATGAGGTTCCATTTGTGTCAAAAATGAGTCGACTGCTTTGTGCTTTGTACTATACATTTGTCTTTGTCTACAGTCATTGCCTACTTGTTCAGGTAAATCAGTATATGTAGGCGTGTATGTTGTCTGTTGACGTCGTCTTAATCTGTCGTCCTGCTTGCTTTTTCTCTGTCGTTTAATTACTGTCGTCCTTATTGTCGTTTTGTTCTGTCGTCTTGTTCTGTCGTCCTAACTGTCATCTTGTTCTGCCGTCTTGTTCTGTCGTCCTAACAGTCATTTTGTTCTGTCGTCCTAACTGTTATCTTATTCTGTCGTCCTAACTGTCATCTTGTTCTGTCGTCCTAACAGTCATTTTGTTCTGTCGTCCTAACTGTTATCTTATTCTGTCGTCCTAACTGTCATCTTATTCTGTCGTCCTAACTGTCATCTTATTCTGTCGTCCTAACTGTCATCTTATTCTGTCGTCCTAACTGTCATCTTATTCTGTCGTCCTAACTGTCATCTTATTCTGTCGTCCTAACTGTCCTGTCGTCCTAACAG